TCGGTTTTAATTTGCATATTCCTGAAGATTAGTGATGTTGAACTTCTATGTTCTCAGGGTCCTGTTGGAGTTCCTCTGCTTACTTTTAAACTGATTGTTTTCTTGCTATTGGATTGAGTTTCTTGTGTGTTTAGGGTATTCACTTCTTAACTAAGATCCACAAATGTCTTCTCCCATTAGAGGGCTGTCCCTCTGTTGATGGCTTCGTCTTTGGTGTGCGAGCTTTTGATCACACTGGAGTCCATACGTGTTTATTTTTGCTTTTGTCGTCTAATTTTGGGTATGAGTGCTATAAAAGTATCACTTGTTTTAATGTTTCCCTCTAGGAGCTTCAAGGTTTCAGGTCTTGCATTCAGGTTTTTAAGCCCACTCCAAGTTGATGTTTATCTGTGCTAGAAGAATGGGGCCTGATCTCCTTCTTTTGTGTGAGAATATCCAGTTTTTCTCAGAACCATTAATTAAAGAGATTGTCCATTCTCTGTGGGTTTTGCTGGTTCCTTGTCAAAAATTAGTTGGCTGTACATTATTAGGCTTATTTCTTGGCATTCTATGTGTTCCATTAGCCCATGAGTCAGTTTTTATGCAAGTACCATATCATTGTAATGACTATAACTTGCATAATCAGCATTTAAAAAAAACAGTTGCCTTTCTTTGCAGGAATATGGCCCAGGATAGCTATGTGCACATTTACACACACACACACACACACACACACACACACACACACACACACACGCGCGCGTCTATGCACAAATATAAATAAATATAATTTAAAAAAGAAATCCATTCTGCAATATCTCTGCAACTATGGCCATGTATGAGAATCCTAGCACCTAAGAAGAGGAAGACAGAGGTGTGGTGAGGAGTATATATTTCTGATTAAGGGAACTTTTCTAATGCTCAAGGCATATCCTATCTGTAACTAGTCAGAACTATAAGATTCTAGAAGGTAGTACTGTAGGATTCTAGAAGGCAGTACTGTGAAGAAGATTCTAGAAGGCAGTACTGTAAGAAGATTCTAGAAGGCAGTACTGTAAGAAGAGTTTAGAAGGCGGTACTGTAAGATTCTAGAAGGTGGTACTACAAGATTCTAGAAGGCAGTACTGTAAGAAGATTCTAGAAGGTGGTGCTATAAGAATCTAGAAGGCGGTACTTGGCACAGGGTCTGGGAGTGCCTGAGTGAGGCCAGTGGTTCTTAGCTGCTGTTGTAAACAGCATTCCAAGGTTATTTTGGGTTTGTTTAGCTTTCTGAAAGTTTGTTATTGCTTATGTAATTTTTGCCCCATGTATTGGTAGTCTGAGCACATATCCCCGCATCCTGACTATTAAGCTTTGGAACTTTTTAAGTAAAACTCCATTCTGACAAGACATCACTTCTTAGTTCCAAAACATAACTACCCAGCACTAAGATATAAAAACATTTATTCCCAGACCCGTGGGTTTCAAGACTGCAGATCAAGGGCTGACACTGGAAGGAGGCAAAACCCTGGCTGATACCATTTGAGCTTGCTTGTCCACAGCCTGACTCCTCCTAAGGAGGTTGTCTAATGAATAGTAACAGAAATGATGAGATTCTCTGAAGACAGCAACCGCAAGCCATGGTTTACAAATTCCTGCCCAAAAGTAGAGCCTTGAATCTCTGTTGCTGGGAATGTGGACTTATATATTCTGGGGCAAAGCTCAAGAATCCGTATTGCTGAGTTCCAGTAAGTACCCTGCCTCCCACCATGGTGCTGATGCTGTGGCCTTTGAACAAATGTTTTCTTTTTTAAAACCTAGAAAAATGCATTTGTTTATTTTGTGTGTATGCTAATTTTGTGTATGTTTATTTTGTGTGCGTGTGGAGGTCAGACAGAGGACAACCTGATGGAGTTAGTTTTTTTCTTTCCACCATGTGGATTCTAGGGATGCAACTTGGTTCATCAGGTTTGGCTGCAAGTGCCCTTACACACTAGGAGAGCATTTGTTTTCTTTCTTGATGTACCACGAGGAAAAGCCGACCCAGAATCTAGTTCCCTTCTTGGTTGAAATGGAAAGCATGTGGTCCTTAGCTATTAGGATAAAAGACTATACATACATGGGGAGATGGCTCCGTGGGTGCTCTGAGTTTGAATTCTCAGGACCCATGTAAGCCAGGCAGCATTAGCGTGTGTCTGTGATCCTCGTGTTTCTGCAGAAAGATGGGAAAGGAGACAGGAGACTCTCTGGAGGCTTGCAGGCCAGCTGCCTGGCACACACAGCTTGGAACAACCAGGAGACCCTGTCTTAAATGAAGTGGAAGGTTTCCCCAGCGTTTCCCTCTGACCTCCACAGACACACTGTGGCAACCACTGACATGTGCACAAATGAACAAACATGCACACATATCACACACACACAAATAAGCTACATATAAGATTGAAGGAAAGATGTTCAGACTTGATGCAAAGTAACATCAGCTGTCAAATATCAAAAATCCATAGCCTGAGACATGGGTCATCAGGTACCCAAAAGCATTCACACTTGTATTGCTCTATCTTTGCTGTTAATGCTGTTATTAAGTTAACAGAGCTGTCCCAACAGTAATTCTATCACAGGCTCAGCTGTAGCTCCTCATTTGGTAATGAAGTCATCAAAAGATTCAGGATTTTACATCTTACTATATTTCATTTTATACTTTAGATGAGTTTCTGGAAAGATCATTGTGTGTAGCAAGAAAGCCTTCAGGGATCCTGAGTGGGTTAATGGGAACAGGCTGAGTGGTACTGTATACACCCACAAAGTAGCATGGAGAGAGACCATCTTTTCATCTCAGTTAATGGTGAGATAATTCTTCAATGAAACCCATGAGGAACACTTCTTTAGGGGCTGGAGAGATGACTCAGCAGTTAAGGGCACTGACTGGTTCTCAGCACCACATTCCAGCTCACAACCAGCTGTAACTCCAGTCCCACAGGGATGTGTCACCCTCTTCTGGCCTTCAGTGGTATTGCACACATGTGGTGCATATAGATACACACAGGCAAAACATCCATACACATAAAATAAAATGAAAAAAATTAATAAATCTTTGTTGTTCATATTGGGGAAAGAGAACAATTATACTTCAATGTGTCTTTTTAAACCTTCTGTTCTGAAATCGCTCTAAATTACAAAAAAAAAAAAAAAACATTACCCGAGCAGCTGGGCTAGTTCATTGACTGGCTTCATTGGCGTGTTACTGGTTTCAGACCATCTTCAATAAGTAACAGATGTCTGTGTATTAGTCACTTTCTCTTCCCAGTCGCAAAACACTGCAACTGAAAAAATTTACAAGGAGAAAAGACTTCTTTTGGTTTGAAGTTTTGGAGATTTTACCTCATGGTTTCTTGGTCCTGTGCTTCAAGCTGCCATTATGGAGGAAGCTGGAAGGAGCGTGGTACACGTAGGACATCGGGAAATAGACAGTATATGGAGCCAGGCTCCCCACATGCCCTTTAGTGGCACCCCACCGAGGATCCAGCTTCCTTCTGCTGGATCCCACTTTTGACTTAGTGCTCACCACCTGTGAGTAGAGCACACGCAGGGCTCTTAGGCACATCCTACCTCCGAGTTACACCCACTGATCCCTTCGGACTTCAGAGTATACTTCCTAAAAACAGGAGCTTCTCAGCATGGCTAGAACACAGACTCTACATGAGGAGATGACGCCTCTCCATTCTCTCGAATCTGTAGGCTACTGAAATGGCGCTGTCTTCAACGTCATTTATAGGGGTTGGAACCTACTCGGGATTACCTGCTGAGTTAGCAGCTTTGTCCTCTGGCCTTGTTCAGTCTGGAGCCCTCTTTAACAATCTGCCACTTTAGAAGAATTTCTCTCGATTTACATTTATCTGATGTTCTTATTTACATATGTATGCATAGTAGTGTTGACAAATATGCATATTGACAAGGACACTTTAAATTTCCAACTCCAGACCCATGAAGATGAAGAGTCCAGATCATTCATCCTTAATGACTTCCAGTAATTTTTTTCAGTGACGTAATATATTAAAGTATAAACTACCGATTTATTATTGATGTTGATAACATTGACATACATACACATCTGCTGGTAACTATTCCGCACCAACCACCGTGTTCCACCTCCACCTACAGCTTCTTAAAATAATTTGAGATCGGCTTTCATGTAGCCTGGGGTGACTTCGAACTCCCTACACAGCCAGAGATGGCCTTGAACTTCTGATCCTTCTGCCTTCACCTCCTGAGTGCTTGGACAGCAGTCGATGCCACCTCACTTGGGACTGGCCCAGGGCTGGGGATCAAACTCTATGGCAGTCCAGCACGGATCTGCATCCCACCCAGCCGCCTCAGTCATTGAACATCACATTTCAGGACTCCCACGTTGAAGTTGTCCATTCAAGTTACCTTTGCTCATTTGAACGTCGACTTTTCTTTTCTTGCCCAAGGATATTTGCATAATTCCCCTTTGTAGTGTTTCAAGATAGTATCAAACCACAAAGCACTCCTAGTGCTCTGTGTGGTGTAAACGTGGAATATATAAAAAGACTAGGTTAGCAACAATCTCTCTGACAAGCACAGCGGCTCATTTTAATTTAGAGGGCGCCAGCCCCACGTCAGTGAGTGACTCAAAAGCTACCAGGGGAGGAGGGCACAGCACCCCAGGTCAGAACCACGAGCATCTCCATGCCACTAAAGTTTCAGTACCGGGTTAACCTAGCAGCGAGGAGAGGAACCTTGGCTTGCCGGAGGCAGTCCCTGGGTTTTCTGGGCAGCTGTTCCGTTGCCAGAAATCTACAGATTTTTCCCCCCCCCTTGCTGCACAGAGCCTGATCGGCGGCGCTGGGACAGGTGAGCCTGGCGGTGGCGCCCTAGGGACACGCCCAGGTGCCAGGGTCCCGCTCGCAGCGCGTGGCTCAGGCCAGGTGCGGGCGCCCAGGTGCGCGGCGCGGGGCTGCAGCTGCTCTGGGTCCCCGACAGCGGGCGCCACTGCGGCAGCGGCCGAGCTGAGCGCCTGGGCTGCGCGACTCCGGGCAGCTCCTTGGTGATCGGCCCCGCCGGGTGGCCAAGAGCTCCGCCCGGGGGCGCCCCGGGGTCCCTGTTGCTGCGGGCGCCGAGGGGGCGGATCCCGCCTTGGCCGGCGAGGGGCGAGGGAGACACCCCAAGAGCCCCCGCGCCCTGGCATCATGCGACCCGCCGCGCCTCCTCCCGGGCCTGGGGCTGCACAGTCTGCTCGCTGAGCCCCCTGCGGTCCCCACCGCGGAGAGTGGCAGCCAGAAGGAGGAGGAGGAGGCGACACCCGGGAGAGCAGCGCCCGGACGGATTCCGCCGCCCCTCCGCCCCCGAGAGCTGGCGGCTCCCGGGTTCTCCAGCCTTATCATGCTCCGGGCGCCAGCCGGGCTTTAGGAGAAACTGAGACGCCGGAGCGAGTCGGGGCAATTCTTTGGTTGCTAAGGTAATTGTAGTTAGACCAAACCGGACAAGAAAAGAAATGGAACCGGGGGAAAAAGGAATGGAAACCGCACCCGCGCCCGGGTCTGGGTAGCTTGCATCCCTCGGAGGGGTGGGCGCTTGCCCATTTCGGATGCGTGACAGGTGCGGGTGTGTGTCTGCAGTTTGGGACTGTGCGAGGCGAGCTTACGTAAGCGACTCGGCGAGCTGGCGTGCGGACTTGAGTGGGATGGGTGCAGGTCTGCTTGGAAATCGCCTTCCTGGCTCTGGGGTGGGACGCGCTCCGCGCCTGGGCCTGGAGGGCGTGCGGGACCCCGCGGCTTTCGGCTCTTCCCAGGCGTCCGGTTCCGAGAGCGCAGGTGGGGAAGTCTACCTCCAGCAACTTTTCCTGTGAAGAAGCTCCTGGTTTGTGGGTTGGAAAGGCGAGGCTTGTTGGTGAGGTGAGGCAGGCAGGGGCGGGTGGTGAGGTCTGCGGCTTGGGAATTGCCTTCGCAGACAGTAGGTTCTGAGCCGGTCAGGCTGTTTAAAAAGTGAGATGAGGAAAGTGACCCAGAAAATTTAAATTTGTTCAGAGGAAAGCTGCGGGGTTTCATTTTTTTTTTTTTTTAATTTGACAAAGTGAGCGTTTTCTCTCTCGTTGAGACAAGTGGTGGCATTTCTAGTCTGCAAATAAATTGAAGATGTTTTGAATCTCGTTGGTTTGGAATTATTCCCTCAGCATTGGCGCCTGCTTAGGAACTGGACCTGTAGGTAAGTTCTGATCAATACCCTTTAGCAGCCCCAAAGTAAAACTTCAAAGACAACCAGGAAGAAGGGATCCCATCCTCAGATCCTTTTCTCTCCAGGGAGGATGGCAGAGTAAATAACTGGTCTGGTGTGTATCGGAGTGTGACAGAATGGGTTGCAAGTTTGTGCGTGATGCGTCGAAGACTGTTCCTGTCAAGGTTAGCAGAGTATAAACAAGGCTCTCATAGGACAGTTTTTACAAGTAGGTAGGGGAGTGGTTGTGTGGAGTTGGCTCTGGGCTGCTGGAAAAGTTTCGGTGACTCAGTATCCTTTCCCCTTGCTCTTAACTTACTAACTTGGCATAAGACAGGGTTACCCCGTCAAAGGGAAACCGGGCAGTTCCCACAGACACCTTTGGAAGCCAAAGCCTGCGGGCACCAGGAGAGCCAAGAGGATAAACCGAGTTCTCTGATACCAGTGTAAAGCTGACTCGTGTGGTTCCGAGGTGATCTTGTGTGCTGGTAGCTCCAGCATGGGGAGAGCCTCCTTCCACCAACTCCTCCTTTCCGGAAAGCAGCTTCAGAGTGTAGAAATGTCAGCCGTTGGGAGGTTATTTTGGCAGAGGAGATAGCTTTTGGTGTTTCCGTAGTCTTTCTATTGGCTCGTAACTTTACTTCCCATTCTCCTTGTGAAATTTCAGTTAACATTCACTGAGTTTATTCAGCCGAGAGACTTTCAGTAAAAAAAAAAAAAGTGTCCATTTTTCTTTGAAGCAATCAATCTGTCACATCAGTGTGATGGGACAAGGGTACCTGTGTGACTGCAATGCCTTTTTAGAGGAGACTTATTTGTTTATTTATGATTTATGAAATCAGATATCCAACATAAGTATTTTTAAATGAGCAAACATTGCCTCCCCCGCCCCCCGGGAAGTGGGGGGGAAGGATGCATTGGACAATGGAATTTGCCAGTAATTTTCAACATCTTCCCACCTCCCAGGGATGGAAGTGTAGGTGAAGGTAGGCTCCTTCTGGTCTCCATGTCTCTGGTTTTCTGCCATATGTTTTCGTTTCCTGAACTCTAAGACTTTACCAGGAACTGCTGCACATTCCAGGGGTTAAAAATGGAGATAAGAGGAAGAAGCTGTTTGCCACATTTTTTTTTTCTTCCAAAAGGGTTGTTCTCAGAGGGCTCAATACTGGGATTATTTTTTTCCTTTAGCTCCACAGCTTGTCTTAATTCTTAGTGCTTTGTACCTAGGAATGCATTTAACCTCCTCATTTATTTTCAGGGCAGCTGGAAGAATATAGTTAATGAATTCCATCTTCATTGTAACATATGGTGCCATATAAATAATTACTATACATACTGTCCTGCCGTATAGAAAGAAATAGAAATGCAAAATAAACCTTCATGTAGAATGACATGGCTAGGAAATGGCCGAAAAATCAGTTTTACTTCCCCTCTTGACTAGAGAAGTGATGTTTATCTGTTGGAAACAATTTGGGGAAAAGAGAGACCTCTGCAATGCCCCACAGAGGGTGACACAGTTGTTGACATTTTTTTTTCAGATTAGTTCCTTCAGATGTTAAGCCTGTTAAGTCTTCACAGATTCCCCCTCCCCCAGATTTTCAGATCTTATAAACAGAATGTATATTTTGTTAACAGCTTGGGAAATAACTGCTAATATCCTAGGCAATTTCAATAGGTCAGGTTTTAATTTTCATTCGTGGTCCTTGTGTTCAAAGATAGTTGGCAGTCTGTTTCTCTACCCTTGAGAAACCCCTGTTCATGCTCCCAGCCGGGAAGACCTGCAGATTTAGGCAGTCAAACAGCAGAAAAGATGTTGGCCATTCAGATGGGAGACCTGAGTTGTGGCTGCAGTCTGTCTGTCAGCTCTTCTAGAAGGGCAGGGGACACCTTCAGGTTTAGCTCAGGGAGCTTATGACCTGCGTGCTGCTCGACATTTGATGAGGGTGATCTTTGTTTGAAGAGGGCTTATTCAAACAGACAGCTGGGGCTCACCCCCGCCCCCTGGTTCTGATTCCTTCCACCTGGAGTTAGCCTGAGAATTTACATTTTTAACAAATCTTAACAAATCTCTGACTCTGCTGACCAACGCTTTCGGGGACAAAGTCTCCCACTCCCCCTAGCAACCAAGCTCCCAGTACCTGCCTGCCATGTTGTTTCCATCAGGTGTTTGGGGAAACGCTGGCTGAACCAATACCAGTTTTCTCCGTGGGAGGAAAACTTTCTAGTCAAGACAGAGAATAAACACCCAGAATTTAGCACCCCGGAGTCTGTAGTAAGAGTAACTATTAGACATGTAACCCAGTTCTTCAAACAGCAGGGAATGGAAGGCTGCTTACACATAAGCAATTAAATTGAACAGTAGCCTTAATGGTTTAAGTTAAGTAACTAGGAATACATGAACCAAATGCTTCTCAGCTGTGTTCTAGAGTCCAGTAAGAGGCAGTTCATCTGCCACATGGTTGATCCTCCATATTTGTAGATTCCTCCTCTACACATTCAACCAACTGCTGATCAAAATTGTTCAGAAAAAAAAAAAAACATATTGGTGCTGAGCATGTGCAGCCCCATTCATTATTCCTGTGATGGTCAGTTCTAATCATCAACTTGACACAACCTGGAATTACCTGGAAAGAGACGCTGGATGAGGGGTTATTTAGACCAGGTTGGTCTATGACAGTGGTGCTCAACCTTCCTGATGCTGCAACCCTCTAACACAGTTCCTCATGTTGTGGTGACCCCCAACTATAAAATTATTTTTGTTGCTAATCTATAACTCTAATTTTGCTACTGTTATGAATCCTAATGTAAATATCTGATATTTCCGATAATCTTAGGTGACCCCTGTGAAAAGGCTATTCAATGCCTCCCAAAGGGGTCATGACCCACAGGTTGAAAACTGCTGGTTTATGAGCATGTCTGTGGAGGACTGTCTTAGTTGCCTTCGCTGATAGGGAGGGGCCAGCCTGGAAGTGAGTGCTACCATTCCCCAGATTTGGGCACCAGACTTTGTCAGAGTAGGAGAAACCAGCTGAGTATTAAACATGCATGCATTTGTTCTTTCTGCTCTGGACTATGCATGTGCTGGGACCAGCTGCCTCAAGCTCCTGCTCCACGACTTCCCCACAGTGATGAGCCTGAAACTGTGAGCTAAAACAGACCCCTTCTCCTGTTTTTTTTTTTGTTTGTTTGTTTTTTTTTGTTTTGTTTTGTTTTGTTTTTGGTCCAGGTATTCTATCACAGTAACAGAAATGAAGCTGGAACACTCCTATACAGCTTGGCCACTATCTGCACAGTATTTGCATTGTATTGATTATTGCAATTAACCTAGAGATGACTTAATGAGTGCAAAGGAGTCTATGAAGAAGATTAGATGTAAGGGACTTGAGCATCCGGGATTGAATCTGTGAGGGTCCTGGCAGTCATTCCCCATAGATCCGGAAGGACAACTTTTCCAAAAAAGGGAACAGGAAGTTCACTAGTAATGACATAAACCATGAAAGTGACACATAAAGCAATGCCATGCCTCCTCAGTGCCCTTTCCCTTCCGAAGTCAGAGCCGTGCTCATCAGAGACGCATGGCCATCTGTGAGACGGGTCCGTTTTGTGAAGGGGTAAACTAAGGCTGAGAGAATTGACAAATGAACTTGTACCCACAGCTAGTGAGGAGCAGCATCAGAAGCCAGGCTCATGCCTTCCTGCTCCTTCATGCTCCTTACCCTGAGCCCTAGTGGCTGCATGTGATAGGCAGGTGACCCAGTCAGCTGCGGGGGAGGGGGGGCGGTTCCAGGTGGCTAACATGGCTCACATAGAACTCTTGGTCATCTCTCTATAGTTATGTACTGAATAGAAAGCCCCTTCCTTCCATCTGGATGTTAGATACATAGGGGATCCAGAGAGCACTCCTTATTTATCTATTGGAAACCTTAAGCATATTTTATTACTGGGCTGCGGAGGCTTGCCACACAGCAGGACGACTTGAGTCCCAATCCCTGGCACTCACATAAAGCCTGGAACAGGGGCCTGTGCCTGTGACCCCAGCACTGGAGGGTGGAGATGGGGGTGGGGGGGCTGTCCCTGGAGCTTGCTGGCCAGCCAGTCTAGATAATTTGGTGAGCTCCAAGTTCAGTGAGAGGCTCTTGTCTCAAAAAACAAAGGGGAGGGCTGACAAGGTGGCTCGGTGGATGAAGGAGTGTCCTGTCTGCCTTGATTCCCTGAGTTCAACTCCCAGGACATACAAGGTGAAAG